AAGAGAGATAAACACAGCACATTCAGTAGCACACTCAGTCATAGTCCGGCAGTCTTGTCTTTCGCGGTGTAAGACATTGCTGTTACAGCCACTTGTTCAACTCCGTGTCGCGTGGGAATTTCAACAGAGCTTTTGGAGTCTTCTGTTGCGATTTCTTCTCGTTCCTATAGTGCGTACTTGAAAACACTTAGCGCATGAAACCTTTTTTCGAACTTGCTATGTGCATCCACTACGTGGCCTTCAAGAAACAGGTGCAGTAGCGTGTGTGCCGTTTGTAAGGGGTTTGACCGGCTTCAAACCACGAAGCCATTATGATAATCACGTGTTCTGACACCCGCTATAGCAATGGCTGCTTGTACCAAGCATCACTACTGCAACATTTCATGTCGCGTTGTGAAGCATGTATATACGGCGCGTCGGTTTGTAAAGCATGAAAGCTATATACTTTCACTGAATTTCCAAGCAGAGAAAGATTTTTTTTTCTACTGTATTCACAAGGAGACGTGCGGCCGCGTGGTAAAACATCCGCATGCGACGCAAACGACCCGGCTTCGGTCCCCACTCAAAACTTTTTTTATTATTTTTTTATTTCCATTACCCTCAATTTATCGCTCACGCATAAAATGTTTTTTCGCTCACGACGAACGACGCCGACCCCGACGCCGTAATTTCTACGAAACGAGCCTTTAAGGCTATCGTGTTAAAAAAGTTGCAGACAGTATAATACACAGTGAGAAAAATGCTGTGTTACGTGGTGATCGTATAAATAGTCATCAATTCTCAATTTTCGCTTATTTTTTTTTTTGGAGTATAGTCCTTTTGTCCTTGCTCTCCCATCTTCTTTCCTCTTTCTCTCCTCCTATCCTGCTTTACTTTGTCTTCCTTTTCCTAAAATAATAGGCAGGTGCTGTGCCGCTCTAGCTGGCAATTGTCGGCCTGCTCCCCATCTTTCATCGGCGTATTTTTGTAATTGTGTACGCATATCAAATAATAGTAACTATTCTTCCAGTCTTCATATCATCTTCCCGCTTTCTTTCTTTTTTGGTACACCTTCTCGCAAGTTTAGAGCTGTGGAACGAAACATTTTGTACATGCATATTCGCGTTTCACGGATATTGTAAACGGTGGTAGGCATAATTGTTTCGTGTGAGTGTAAGTAGCACACGATGGAAAAAGATACTTTTTTATAGGCGTACTATTAAGCTTAGCCTTACTTGGCCCAGAATCCGGCATGCCATTTGGATCTATCACATTCTGAAAGTAATCTATTACTGTAAGTAGTATTGGTGCATCACTTGGGTGTCTGTATATGTAAGATGGCCTTGTAGTAATATCTTTATCAATCAATTAAGCTCTTGTGCAATCTATGTATGAAGCAATAGAATTTACGGGGGCTCATGTCTTTGTTTGAAAGAACCTTAGCGACGACCAAGAAAAGGCCTCCAAGAAAAGGTATAGAGAACGTTTTTTTTTTTTTTTCACTATTAATAAAATGATGAAATAGGAGAGGTTGGTGCCATAATGGTGGCACCAGCTACTCATTTTCTTTTTAGTAGGCAGTAGGCAAGATATTCCGTAAGATCAACAATAAGGGCACAAAATGCGAGACTGTACAACATTCGATGTGAAAAAGTACACATTAGCCAAACCTCACAGGTCAGTTCGCATACTGCTAATAGGTTCATATGTTCCACACACAAGGTCAGTTCACCTCACACGACAGTTCATGTTCGTGTAATAGATACAGCGAACGTTAATTGTGATTCTGCGGCTGGGAAATTCTTGTTTTGCGGCTGCGAAATTCTTGTTGTTTGAAGCCCCTCTTTGTCATTTGTGCAACCACTGTTATTAGTTCCAATGTTATTACTTGCTTTGTATTTTTATTAGTTATTAGTTATTAGTTGCTCTGTAGTTGCTTTGCTTTGTAGTTGCTTTGTATTGTGGCAGAAGTATCACCCACTAGCATTCTTTCCTATGTACCCCCCTTACTCTATGCTCATAATAGAGCCTGTAAGGTATTTTTAAATAAATAAATAAATAAATAAATAAATAAATAAATAAATAGATAATTGTATCGCAGTAATTGTGGCATATTCATTTGAAGGAGGTCGAACGAACGAAAAAGACAACTTGTCCCCTGCGGAAACCGAACCTGCGACCTCGGGATTACGCACCCGATGCCCTGTCGGTTTAGCTACGGCGGTCGTCGTAAGTTCGTGCAGTTTCTCGGGTGTTTGCGTGCATGCGAACTTGGGAGTGTTAGTCAGCGCTGGTCGTGACTACGTTGGTGATAGCAAAAGACTCCTTTCAGCAGCTGGCTTCACGTAGCACGTGATTAGTGAGTGAGTGAGAACAACTTTAGTATGGTCCAGTGCAGACGCTGAGGTTGCCGCGCGTCACCCGGCTACTCCCACGTGGGGACCGGCAGGTCTAGCCCGACGGCCCTGTCGCGGGCACACTGGACGGCCAAGATTTGGGTCCTGAAGTTCTGGGCTGTCCACAAGCGCATCCCACTCGGCTCACGTGATCTCTCAACGAGCGCAGAGCTGACGAATGAGGCCTCGCGGGCTATAAACGAAGGCATCAATTCTGCCCGAAGGTCTCCCTCGCTATAAGTGCATATAATCTAGTCGTCTATGGTACTCGTTCTGCAACGTGTCGAATAATTATAACATTGTCAACTTCACGGCTGTGTCCCTTAGTTATCTTTCTAACGAAGCCCCGCCACGGTGGTCTACTGGTTAAGGCACTCGACTGCTAACCAGCAGGTCGTGGGATTGAATCCCTGCCACGGCGGCTACATTTTCAATGAAGGCGAAAGTTTTTTCAGCCCGTGGGCTTAAACTTAGGTGCACGTTAGAGATCCGCAGGTGGTCAAAATTTCCGGAGCCCTTCGCTTACGGCGTCTCTCATAATCATATCGTCGTTATGGGACGTTATAACCTATTATTATTATTATTATTATTATTATTATTATTATTATTATTATTATTATTATTATTATTATTATTATTATTATTATTATTATTATATCGAACCCATAAGCGCACTTCTCCCCGCTTACTTCTGGTGCTAAAAAATTACTAACTATGGTTGTTAAGCTTTTTAATATAGAGAATCAACACTTGGAACAGTCTCACTATTGAGGCAAAGGTAGACGTGTCTGTTCTGTTTCGGATAGACGTAAAATATTTGTTACGTAAGATTTTTTTTTTCAGTTCGCTTTTGCCGACGCTTCACCCATAGGCGCTGTATGTAATGAATTTATCTTGTATCATCTGACAGTTTTCGTTGAGACTTATAACCCAAATTCCGCGTTATGGTACACCCGTCCTCTTTTTAAATACTTTTTCTTACTGCTTTTCACGTGTGGGTCTCGGTAGGAGGCTAAATTGCATTGTATTTTTTTCGATACGGTATGTAATAATAAGCTTTATACTTTAGACTTATTGGCCGCTCGAACGTCAATGCTTACTCGACAGCCTACGGCCGTTCAACCATGAGCGTGTGAGCTCGTGTGGCAGAGCTATTGGTCTCGAGGACATACCGTGGCTCCACCTACGTTATGACGTCACTCATAGAATTTCGAATTGTGTTGTCTGCAAGAACACCGCACTTTCTGCGCTTTTCCTGTTGACACCGTCCGTGCTTCCCTTTGTTTGTTGGATTGATTGATTGATTGATTGATTGATTGATTGATTGACATGTGGTGTTTAACGTCCCGAAACCACCATATGATTATGAGAGACGCCGTAGTGGAGGGCTCCGGAAATTTTGACCACCTGGGGTTCTTTAACGTGCACCCAAATCTAAGCACACGGGCCTACAACATTTCCGCCTCCATCGGAAATGCAGCCGCCGCAGCCGGGATTCGAACCCGCGACCTGCGGTCTCTTTGTTTTGAAGCTCAGTGCTTAAAGAAGCGGCAAGACCTGATAATGTACGCGCAAGCAAACTACGAATCGGTGCCTCCGGTGGCAGTCTCGTGTCTAATTTTTATCGTAAAAATGCGACTTAAAACCGGTGCAGCCAAGCGGGACGATGCAAGTGGTGCCGCGAAAGCAAATCTGCCGTATTCCACAACTACTACTCTATCTGTGACGTCAAAACGATCGCAGCGCTGGCCTTTCCAGTGGAGGCCCTCGGGGCCAACGCTTCTTCGCACGAAACCAACAAGGGTGTTACCTGCAATTAAGTCATACCAAAGGGGTTGGTAGACTGTGCTGAACGGAGAAAGCTGAGGTTGTCGGTTGTCCTGACAGTGCTTTGCCGTTATCTGTTTTTCTTTCTTTTTTTTTTCTTACGCAGCATGCAGACCTTCGCGCTGAGCCCCGTCTATGAGGAACGTCGCAGCACGGACGTCACGGTTGCCAACGTTCGCAGGGCACCACGAATGGCACGACTCAGCATGTGCAACGTCGCTCGTCGATAAAGGCTCGCCATTGTCGGGAAGGGTGAAAACAACTCGCGCTCGAAAGCTGGCGTGTTCCAGCTGTCGTTAGCGCGAATCCAGCGAAAACGATATCGCCCAACATCCGCAGTGAACAAAAGCGAACCGTCGTTGCACAGCAGATAGAGCGTTGTGCCTTCACAGACGCTCTATGTGGTAATGGTCGATGACGGAGGTCAACTTCTGGCTTGCCTTCATGTAGTGGTTACATTTGTGCGGTTTAGTTTCCGTCTTTTAGCTGCAATGTGCTAGGCTATGAACACGGAAGCCCGCCCGTACTGACTGCCTTTGGATTGCGACACTCATCGGAATCGATAGCCTTCCACTTCACCTGAGATATCGGCAGTTTCCACGCCCACCGTGGGTCCACAAGTCACCTGTGTACGTGGGAGTGAATCGCACCTATATCTTCAGCGAAAACGCGTTTCAGAAAGCAAGAACTTTATGCAAATAGAAGATATAACAAGCTACAGAATGTGTACGTTTAGATAGTTCTTGCGTCGCATTGTGAAGTGCCTTCGCATTCTGAAATGCTAACTCCGTTTCCCCCGCGACTGCATTGCTTGTGACATGTAGACAAACTACACTTGAACCTCAGTGCTATGTCCCGAGACAGGTGCAATCTACCAGACCGAGCTTCTGTAAATTTATAGCGCTGTAGACTTCAGTTGTTGAAGAACGCTCGTTTTCCTCAAGACCACCGGTATTCGTATTCGACTGTCAGTATTGAGATATTACTGCGCGACTTTCACTTATACTTGTCTCTACCGCAACAGCCACACGCTAGAAGGAGCTATCGACGGCGAAGGCCTTTCCAGGATCATGTACCAAAGCGAAGATGCGGCTGCTCCTGCCGAGTAGTGACAAAGCCTCGGACCTAGCCATTCTCAGGCTCTTGGAAGGCGTCAGAGCAAGTCGAAAACGGTCAGTAGATGCGTGAAACGTGCTGACAAGCCACCTCCGTCATGGAAACAACCGATGGTACCCAACAAGCCCCGCCTCTCGCCGCAGAGACAATGGTCACCTTCGTTCCGTCTGATGAACCGGATATGATGTCAATGACCCGCACGGAGTTATGGATGGCCTGTACGGGCATCCTCATGTCATCGCTGGGCTTCTTCTGCGTCTGTCTGGGTCTCTCGTACCGGTTCCTGGTGGTCACCCTCGTGGGTTACGTCATGGCGCCCGTCGGAGTGGTCGTCTTCGTCGCGTTCCTGTTCCTGTACCAGACGAGTCGCCGAATCAAGTGCCTGACGGAGCACGGTTCATCGTCGTCGTCGTGGAAGTACGACATAGTCAGCAGCAACCAGATCGATCCCAGAGACGTGCCAATGGTGGCGGTGCGCACGGCGAATGGCTTCAAGACGGTCGTCGGGATGACGGAGCAGGCGGCGTCACTCCGCGCTCCAGATGTGGTAGACGGAAGTGTTAACCGCCTTCGGGATAGTCACGTGTGACGCTTTCAGTGTTTCCTGTGCAATCGCTTTCTCACAATTTGCCCTACGTAGAAATACATGTGTATAATATTTGCGATATCAACGCTGGCAAGTGGGCACTTCACGGGAAGACATCCATAACTACCAGTGAAGAGTTATTCCCAGTTTGCGGTTATTGAGCACGCTTGTTGATGGCAGTTTCTCAGTTTACGAAGCTAGTCGATGCGCTGTTTCTGGTGACTGTGTAACGGCTCTAAGCCGGTGACCAGGTGCGGCTGCACCAAGATATATTTACTAGGGGAGGCATGACAGGCGAGTCCCTCCGGTAAAGTTGGGGGAGGGGACATAAAGGTGGGGGACGTTTGCGCTGTATTTTGACTATGGTTACTGTGGAGGGGAGAAGCGCAAGAAATTTCAGGTGAAAATTTACCACCATTACTGTGACCTCCCCACTCACTTCCGGGTGCCGTTCCTGCCGGTGACGTTGTAAAGCCAGGGGGTCGATTTATTGCAGTGTCGCGAATTCGGCAGCGTCAGCGTTCCTCTAAATCTGATCGTTGTGCAACCTGGTGGGCCAGCACACCTTCGTGATCTCGCGACTCACTGTCCGTGGCTCTATGTTAAGTGTGCAGCTGTATAAACGTTTGTACATCGTGCAATGCCTGCCATTTTCAAGAACTTCAAGCACTCCATGCCACTCTGGGGACCATCACTAGGACCTCTCGCATGATGACTCTAGCTGATGTCCTTGGCGTTGATTTACCAAGTAAACCAACTAGTCGAGTGTGAAAGAAAACAAGCTTTTTAATGAAGGCCAAAATTAAAATCGAACAATGACGTGCCTTCCTTTGGTCGTCGGCTTTACGGTGGTAAATGTGGGATGTAAGCAGCTTTTACAACGTAACATCAGGGGCCATCAGCCTTCCCTTTCGTCAAAAATCTGCGTGGATATAACGCTGTGATCACTGTCGTTTCAGTATTCTTGTAGCTTTTTAATGTTGTATGGGCTACACTGGCTGCGCTGCCAGATATCATGCCCTGGCATCGCGTATTTGTGCCTTGCAGTGTTGGGCTTGTGATTTATAGCAGGGCAGGAAGTGCGGATGTGTGCCAAAGAAGCTCAACCAAGAGAGGTCGGATGATCAGGTCACGTCGGCATAGTATAGCTTTACGTTGTGCCCAGATGTTGCAGCAACAACGCTTCTACACGAGATTTTGCTAGGGCTTGGCCTGCACAAGGCAGTTCTCGTCTTTTTTTTTTTTTCGTAATGCGTGCTTATCTGCTACGCAGGTGGGGCTACAGTTTCAAGCATTTTTTTTTTTTGTTTGTGAGGCACCCATGCAGTCACCATGTATGAAACAAACGCATGAAACCGAAACAGTATATTCTAAAACCAGCGTCGACATTTTAGTCGTTCTGTGGATCGGTATTCATATGTTTTCTGTTTTTTTTTTACTCCTGACGCCAAATATCCTTCAGAAACGGTCCATATATGAGAAATGGTAAAGCGTGCGTTTCGTGTTGCAACGTTAGCTGACAAGCCTTCCCCCCCCCCCCCAACCCTCCTCGCCCACGGTCATCGTGGGACTAGATCTTGTGACTACGGCGAGCTAGCTGAGGTTCGTTTGACAACACGTCGTGCTATATATGTAATACTCATTCCAATTGCAACAAAACAAGAACAAGAGAAATTGTGTGCCTTCAATGAAAGCCTCATTGCACTTTCGCGTGCTTGTGAAGTTTGTTTGTGAATGTATGAATTTCCCAAAGCGAGATCAACAAAGCTTGTACTTGAAGTGTATTGTGTAATTAGTGCACGCAAGGTATCTTGCTTGTTTTCATTGTTTTCATTTCTGGGGAGATTTTCGGTGTGCGCTCAAATGCAGATGTAGCTGCTGAAGTGACGTTAGAAAACGAAAGAGTTTTATAAAATTGTAAAATGAACTAGAAACGAAAGTTCGGCTGTTTATACAAGTTGATTTGTTGGTTTATCAATTGCAATTTCACCACGTGATTCAATTTTCGCTCTGATAGTTACACTTTTCACATTGGATCTTCAACACAAAATTTTCTTTGTCTCGGAACTCTTCCAGCATTTATTTACAAGTGGCACTGGTCTATATAAGACAAACAATTCAGAGCCTCCCCCCAACTCTGAAGGTGCAAGCCAAGGAAGCTGTGACAATTTGTGACTATCGTTGGTCTGTTGAAGCGAATATTGCTTTTGTGTATTTATGCGTTCCCCTAATTTACTGTATTGAGAAAATAAAGAGAAGTACGCTCAAAAATCTCGGTAATTATCTTTCATATAGCACTATTATCTTATCAATGGTGGTCGCAAAATGAAATACTGTAGTACACAAGGAATACCGTTGTTTCTAAAGTGCAGAAATGACATGACATTCGCCTAATAAACTAGTGCTCTTTTCATTGTAGTCAAATTATTTATGTATTCTGTGAAGCCGGAGAAACCGTACATCTTTATGCTTACTTTTACGACATTTAGGCTACCTTCTATTTTTTTTTTTTGTATTGAGAGGCACAATGGCCATATTGTCACCGTTTTTCTGTGGCCGGTGGCTGCACCGCGAGCTGAGCCGTTGCCTAGCAACCACTGCAGCTGGCAGCGCCATCTGGCTTGACGTCAGTGAAGGATCCGGTGAAACCGCGTTGCAACAACGCAGGAGGAGCCGGCGTTGCGTCGTATATGTAAAAAGAGTCGCTGGTTGGGATTTATTGGAAGACATGAAAAGTGAGCTGGAGAGACTGGAAGATGTCCCGGACTTTGTCGATGGAATAAAACAAGAAAAGGAGGCAGCGAGCTGAGACGGAGGAAGAACAAGCCGCACGCCTCGAAAAGCTTAAATGCACAAATAACCACGCTAAACAATAAAATTAAACTTGCCTTTCACCCCCTACACATGGAAACTGAGTTAAGCCACAACTTTCTTATTAGTCATATAAAATCTGGATAAGTCAGTTTTATCCCACTATTGATAGAGCGTCAGTTATTGGAACACGTCGCACACAAGTGCGAGCGTAAGCGTCGCTCATTCGAACTCAGCAATTCTGTACACACTCCAACGGCGGGCTTCTTGCGCACAAACGCCGTCACTAAAAAGGATGATTTATAATAAAGTTTCCATTAAGAACATTACCTGAAGTATCAATGTCTCATAAAAACTGACACCACCTGTAGATACTACGAAAGTAGTCAGACGCAGCGAACGTAGAGTGAAACGAGACATACCGACCATCTCCGATTCATATGAACTATAAGTACGAATGGTTCAGTGTTAAGAAAATATGGCTCACGATTCAGAGCACTGTGTTCTCTACTATGGGAGGGCGCCAGGCTCTCATAAGAATAAGTCCAACGAACGACTACATGTCAAAATAACAAGAATGGATTGATTAGATTACGTGTGGAGAAAAAGTGTTTTATAATTTTGGGTGCTTGATGTATTTAGAAAAAGTGGTTAACGACTTAGAGTACTCGGTACTCTACTATGGAAGAGCTGAAAGCCGTCCCACGGGCCTCACACTTGATGAAGCCGCATCGACTCGACCATGGGAGAGCAGCGAGCGAAAAATATCGATGACATATCAACCGTTAGCTTTCAGCGAATGGAAGCAACGTCTTTCAGGACAGATACCGCTCAGTGCGCGGCTTTGTCTCGCCGGTTTTCTGCCGAAATGTAAATGTCTTGCAAAATTACGTTGAACACCAAACCATCAATATTCATTTTGATAGGTTACTTTTGTCAAGAACAAAGACCTTTTACCAGAGTTAACCGAAAACGCTCGAAGTCACTTGATTTCTATGTGTGTACCACCTGGAAAATATGTTTCCTTGATAGCAGGTGCCACAGGACAGCTTCAAATTTCCCGGTAAGGCTTTGTCCACTGCCGCATTTTTTAGGGGCGAAGCTCCTTAGGCCGTTGGTCGTTGTCTCCACTGTAGTAGTAGTAGTAGTAGTAGTGTGGGCACCTCTAGTTTATGAGTTGCTCAATAGATGGCGTTGTGTGTGTGTGTCCTTGGGAGTAACAAGATGGCGTTAGTAGTTTTCACGGCATATACACGTGTGAATGCAGATGAGTAGAGCGAAGCGTCCGTCCGTCAGTTCGTGAGTCCATCCGCCCGTGCTTCCGACCACCTGTCTGTCCGTCCATGCCTTCATCCATCCGTGCGTCCACTCGTTCGTCTGCACGTCTGGACGGATGGATGAACGCTTCGCGCCACTCATCAACATGGGTATTCTGTGATTTTTGTTTTGTTTGCCATATCATATGCCGTGATATTTTTTTTTTGTTTGCTCTGGTTAACATATTTCTGATAGCCCGTGTTTAGAAAATTTTCTTATACCATAGGCAGTAAGCTTCGACGTGTTTAGAAGACATGTTCAACGATTTAGAGTATGATATACTCAACTCTTGGAGAGCATTACGAGAGAGAGAGAAATCGGCAGATCCGACGTACCTGGGAATCGACGTTATGCGAAGCATACGGAAGGAAGGCGACCATGTTGCAATTTTTTATTGAGTGACACGTCATGAAATGACGCTAAATGAATGTACAAATGTTGCACGCACAGACATATCTTGAAGTGTTGCAGATGTTTATATAACCAGTTGTTCGCACTTACGCAATTATGCCAACTGTTACATTAATATTAGCAACACCAGGACCAGACATGAAGAAGTGATGCTCGCGAAAATGCTGGCCCTGGACACTGCTACATAAATCAACTTCAGCGCTTGGCAACTAACCACAATTGACGTTAACGCGGCGTTATGGATTTATCAAAGGAGGACATATGTAATGTTTATAAAATTGGGTAAGCACCACTATTGACGTTTCACGAAGATTAGCGTCTATTGGAAAAGTAGTTTCGAGACCTGGCGTAGCTCTGTGGTAAAATGCTTCATTGCCACGCAAAATGCTTGGGATAGATTCCAGCTGGGGCCTTGACATTTATTCTTTGCATTTGTCGGGTCAAGGCTACCCATGTCGGGTATTTCTTAACGCTCGCGCGTTAAAATTGTCCATGTGTGTT